AATCCGACTTTCCACTTCAATGCTTGGTATCGAAGCATTTGGGTCATGTTCTACCACCACAATCGACATCAGTTTCATCTTGATTTATGACATTATCTATGCAAGTGGATGCTAAAACGAATAATCGGATGTAATTCGTATTTATCCTTATGAAAACTGTCAGTACCTTGGCAGATATTCGATAAGCACACTCCGTTAACACAGTCCGACCCGGCACGACAACTTTGGGTATCGGCGCATTGTGGACATCTACTACCACCACAATCTATATCGGTTTCGTCTTGATTCTTGACAGCATCAGTGCAAGTGGGAGCTAAAGAAATATTTTTCGTGAAACATCATTTTATACAACAGATTATACCTTGACATATTTGTGATAAGCAGACTTCACTAAGACAATCCGATCCGACAGCACAAGTTTTGGTATCAGCACATTTGGGACATATACTGCCACCACAATCTGTATCGGTTTCATCTTGATTTTGAACATTGTCACTGCAGGTGGGGGCTAAAGCAAAGATTATTAACTCAGTCGCATTTCGCTCTATTCAGCTGACTTTACCTCGACAAATGTTTGATACGCAAGCTCTGGCACGACAATCTGATGCGGCGTTACAAGTCTTGGAATCGATGCATTGTGGGCAGATGCTGCCTCCACAGTCGTCATCAGTTTCATCTTGATTTCTGACGCCGTCATCACAAGTTGGGGCTATATCTAGCACGACAACAATTGGTCAAATTTTGGTACAGTAAGATAGAGCTAAGGGTAATTTCCATCACTCTAATGGGGTGTGTGCAAGTAATTGTTGTTGGATAGTGGCCCATGAGCTTTTATGAGCTATCAATTTTTTTAGTGTCTGTTTGATTTTATTGTGTGTAAAGCTGCATAAATAGCTGAGAAGCAATCTTTATATCAGAAAACTGGTGTTTTTTGTGTGATAACTTAGTTTTAGGGCATATTCTAATGTCTCACGTTTGACACTACTGGCTATTTGGCTTTAGAATAAAGACTATCAGGTATATGTTGCAGAGCATCTTGTTATCAACAAAATATAACAACAAATGTCACTCGAGTGGTAAGTACTTTCGATTATTGGCGCATCCGTGTATGGTTACTTAAGATTTATCAACATTGATGAATATGCACAAAAAGAATCTTGTTTGTATTTGTAGAATAAAGACAACGTGTTTTATTTAACTTATGGAAGTAGATTCTATAAATTGAATCTAACGGAACCCATAATGTTTGTGTAAAGAATGTCTGCTCAGAGTGAAAACTACTTAAAACTCATGTCGTTCCTGCTTTATTAATGACCTAATTAATGGAAGAATTTCTCAATGTATTAACTAAAACCCCAGTTATTTTAGAATGTTGGGCGATATGCTACTGTGAACAAAAACATGTTTTTGTTTAGTGAAAAAATTTCTACTGATCATTTATGAGTGTTTCGAAGTTTCAAACAGAATGTTTTGAATGATAATCAATTTTCAATTGCACCAAATACAGATCCGCCAATTTTTATAAGGGTGAATTCATACGTTGAGTACTACTTTGTCTCTATGTTACCAATATTCTTACAAGATAGTCTTTACCTCAATTAGTCGATATAAATACTCAGTTAAACAAATGCATAAACTATTTAGCTGAAAAAATCCCATCATATTTTCGTTTTAATTTGGGACATAGTGAAAAGCAGCGAAATGAAATCAGGGAAGGACGCTGCGCGATTACTGACTGATAGATGTCTACTATACGCAATTCGTTCTAATCATTTTAAGTGGACGGACACCCCGTAAAAGGTTCTCATCATAGACAATAACATACCTTTGCATTTTTTTTTGTGACAAATACCACTCTCACAGTCAGCGTTCTTTTTGCAAGAATCGTCATGGATACAAGTGTTCTTCTGGCAAATACCGCTCTGACACTCGCCGTGCTTTTTACAATAGCTGCCATTCTTACAATTTTTCTTTTTATTGCACTCACTAGCTTCACCACTGTAGTTCTCTTCTTCATAATCCTCTTCTTCTGAGCTCTCTTCTTCATAATCCTCTTCTTTTGAGCTCTCTTCTTCATAATCCTCTTCTTTTGAGCTCTCTTCTTCATAATCCTCTTCTTCTGAGTTCTCTTCTTCATAGTCCTCTTCTTCGGAACTCCCTTCTTCATAGTCCTCTTCTTTCTTTCTGTCTAATTCCGATCTAGAAAAGTAATATAAATAGAGCTGATAGACATGTACAAAAACAAATATCTATTTACTTTTTAACGTGATGAATTGCCTCAAATCTTGCTAACTGGCGGTCATCGTTAACCTAGAAAAAAGTCGAAGAAATTCAGCAGAATACATCTATAGAGATGAAAATAGGAAAATACCATTCGGTCCATAATGTTGCTATCAGCATCGGCTTGTGATGAAAGAGCCACACTTAAGCTGAAGATAAGAATACCAACGGTGAGCCACATCCGCCTAGAAACAGATTTTGTTGAAAAATTCGTTTCATATCACTCATTAAATTGAATAGCTCACATGTGAATACCTACATGAAATATTTTCACCAAAGTATACAGCAGTGCTTGAACAGTGCTCAATCGTTTACGATTTATTTTAGTTCTCAACCTTCCTATTTTCCGATCTGTATATCGGTAGAATGTTCTTAATACCGTGATCAAACTTACAGGAACACGTTTTTAATATTAGACGAAAAACAAACAATCGTAAAAATTGCACATTCGGACGCTTTATGAACGTGTCAAAGTATAGGATATCTCAAAAATTCATTAACTTATCGGAAGAGAACATGGCTGTACATATCTAGATTTTGCAGTCAATTTAGAAAAATCGAATTGTTTCAGTAGAATATTTACTAGATGTAAGGCATACACATTATCCATAATTAATTAACAAAAAATAAAGTATCTTAAAGAATTATTGAAAAAATACTAAGGAAAACAATTGTTTGAACAGAAAATATCATTTTTGAGTAGATTTCAGTATTAATTGGAATAAAGAAAATTTCTTGCATTAAAAAATAAAATACTCATTGATTTAATTAAAATTGTTCAAAGATAATGACTGAGGGAACTTTTGATCATGATTATACGAAGGAGGATCTGTCGTTACTATGATAATTGGACGTAGAATGACTCGACATTCTGTAGTCGAATTCGAACTACTAAAATATTTTAAGATAAAATTTTTTCGCAGTAAATTCTATAACGTGATGTGTTGAACACTTTCCTTTCTTTCTGAGGCTATGTTTCATAATAGAATGATTGCTTATCACGTTAAACAGAGCTCAGTAACTAGAGTAACATATATTATTTGTTGTTATATCTGTCTCTATTGAAGAAAAAATAATAGCTTATTAATAACACATAGACGAGAGCATGTCGAGTGTTTCTATGTCCAATTATTAACGTTAGACCTTCTATCAGTATAGCTATCATCAAAATATCACCCAGTCATCGCCATAGAAAAGAAGGAAAAACGATGCTCTCGAATAGCTTTTTTGCGGTCTACGTTTGCCTTGGGCAATAAATATCTATTTAAGTCGAATAAAAGAATTTTCTTAACTACTTGGTACTGAATTGAACATCTTAGAACTTCATGTCTTTGACAACTTCTGCTCTACACATTGAGATTTATATGCGCTTTAAATTTCAAGGTTTTTCATCGAATCATTTCCAATAAATCCCAACAAGTAGCTAGTAACTCAACTTGATTCGTCAAGTGTCAAGTAAAATTTCGTTTTTATACGAAATGAAATAAAAATAATGAGCTTACACTGCCGCGTTTCCATGATTGCCATGGTATTTTTGCATTGTAATGCGTATAATATTCGAATAAACCAAGACCAAGCACAAATTATTATCTAAAAGTCGATACATATATGAAAATTGATCCCATAAAATAACTAAAGAGCTAAATACAACATATGCGAAATAGTGCGTGATATATGAATAATATCGTCGATTATTTTTTGTATAATAAAGTGGTACTCTATGTTTTGATGCTTAAAACGCAGTCATCGCGAATGAAGGCATACGAAGCAAGCGATATTTGTATAGAGAGAAGCATAAAGCGCATCGGTTTGAGTTATTCTTAGATTTCTAGATTGTACACAACACCCAGCTGATAGTAAGTAGAGACATTCTAAGCATTGGCTCACTATCTGTAAAGATAAATGAGACCAGTGATAATACGATTGCGTACACTATTATTGTAATGCTTATTTCTAGTACTTTTGAAAATAAACTAGCATAGGTCGACAAAAAGGCATTGATTACTACAATTCCTCTCTGCAGAAGAAAATTTCCAATGAATATTCTAGTGGATATTATAGCAAGGACGGTAAAACAGTACGACGGAAATTGGTCAAAGCGTTGCGATCATGCATGTTGAACAAGAAAACTGCATCAAGATTCCAAACCCCGGATACCTCATTCTTACAAATATGAATTCGTACATAAAGCGTATATGTCGAACACAATATGAAGTTCATTTTAAAAATCGATTACATCACATTCTGAAGCTGTGATTAGCCATAATTGAATTATCCGGTTCTAAATATGCAAAATAGCCCTCTCGTATACTATTATTTTGTTGAGATTGAAAAAGAAACAGAATAATCAAGAATTTTCCCTAATAATATACAATTGTTGAAAATTTTCAGAAAATCCATAAAACACTCATTCCCTAGTGAAAAGAAATAAAAATAGACAAGTAATAATATTAGTAATCATACATACTTTTGCAAAATGATTAAAAGCATACACTGTATGTAAGCTTTTATATATCAAAAGCAGGTGGCAATTTAAGGTCATATTTATGAAAAGTCAGCAAAAGAAAATTAAGGCTAATCTTTTCAGCAATTGTAATTCGAGATTACATACAATCAGTTGGAGGCTCTCCACATCACTCAGAGAAGAAAGAAATTTTCATTGATGCAATATCATTTTAAGTCAATCCTCATAATAGGCTAACGGACGAAATATGATATAGCTAGTTTAAATTTATCAGAATGTTTTTAGAATTGACGAAAGATAGAGTTTTTCAGATGCTAGATGATGATACTGGATATCTTATTAGCCGTTTTTCTTCAATAAAATTATCCCAATGCAAGTGTGTATCGATATTAGAGATCTTATCAAGTCAGATATATCTGAAAGATAATTTTTATTTCAGTTCTAATTGTGTTGATTTCTTGAGAAATTCTGGGCCCCAAGGATCTTGGCTGAATTTCTGACAATAACAGTCTCCAAGGTTTTACTTGCTTACCAAATTTTTTCACATGTCTCTGGATATATGTTCCTTAAATCATGAGATACACATCTTAAGACGGTATATCGTGATAATACTTGCTCACAATTTTTACCGAAATAGTAGAGAGATTTTTTTTCATGGTTTTGTGAAGTCTTGCATAGAGTGTGGGCGCAGGCTATGAATAACATTTAAAAAGAAGCTAGTCTGCATCTACATCTCACGCTTATACACTTCTCAAAGTTCAAACTCTCAAGAAAATTGCTTTTGCCTCTGGTTATGGTAAAGACCTGTGAAGTAATTAAGTGTAGTCTCGAATTTCAGTTGCAGAAGCGATTAAATTTTATTTTTCATTGCCTTTCCATTAATATGACTTAGCATACCATCTGTATTTATTCAATAATAACTAACGTGTGCCATTCGCTTCTAATCATTTCTCAAAAGTATGCATGATTACCACTATTGTCCCATGCCTTTTTGTTGTGTTATTTTTCGCGAGTGAATAAAGATTTTGTGGGTATGACTGTGTAATAGCTTTCACGATGCACTAGGTTTTTGGATATTGCTAAATTAATCTCATCAAGTGAAGTAAGTAATTTCCATAGATTGTATTCAATATCGAACGATAAATTTAAGAGAATGAACTTATAATAGCAGTGATCTGCGTCCGAATTATCATGCAGATACATCATATTTTAATAGGGTACTGTACAATAATCGATACCTCACCATATTGAATCATGCGCAAATGAAATTATCGTATGTTGTATTTTAATGGTAGTCAATGCAATGCATAGGAACGATATGAAATAATCACACTCTTCGATTTCGGTTATGGTGGATCGGCAATGGCCATAGTTTTCATTGAATTGTAATTCTCAAAATATTGATTTCCATTCTAATGTATCTTTACTATTTGCAATTCTTTTTAAATTCTTTATTTAGCTATTCGCTAGAGGCTATATTTTGCTGTTTTCAAAGGTCTTGTAGCTCTCGGTCAAGACCGTCTTCCACATTTAAATCAGGTAATTGAGCTGCTTTCTCCATATAGAGCGAAATGATTGATCCTATTTACTTTTTACCTAAATTCGTATAATTCTAACGTAGTAGTTCAAAAAATCAACTAATATTACTCTCTCATACGTTGGTCGAGTCTCTTCACTCTCAACGTTATTTTCATGAAGTATCATTGGATGATGAAGAGTACTATTTAAGTGAGAGAAAAGAAAAGAAAATTAATGAATAAGTAGCACAGTTGTGAGTATTTTTGGGGATAGTTAGATTTGCCATATACGACCTACAGTTTACCATAAAAAATGATACGATATACCTGGCACAAGCAAATTCGGACGGTTTTTTATTACATAATAATGCATGAAGATATATATTATTACAATCAGTCTTACAACAAGATGGAGTCTTCTTGGTTGTGCGCATGGATATAAAATACGGTATAATAATCCGAGCAAATTTATTGAGAAAATGAGAAAAAAAGAAAAAAATCTCAGTGTTTTTGGCTTTTTTGTAATGTTGTTCTGTAATCCAACAGATGAGGATGAGCAGAAGGTAACTTCTCTTATCCAATATCTACTGCATGTTGAGCATATTCAATGGTCAAATTATATTGCTGACTTAAAACATAAATTTCTGCCATACTGTGATATACCGCGGCTAAATCGGGATGAGCTTTTGGTGATTTTTCTACACCTATCTTTAAGCCTTTTTGGAAATATACAAGTGCTTGAATAATTTTTCATTTCACAATAAGTTTCATCTAAATTTATATATGTTGTTCCACATTCAAGAGGATTATATTTTACATTTTCTTGAATATTTAGCGCTTTTTGATGAAATTTCAATGCCTTTCCACAATCATCCAATCATCGATGCACATCACCAATACTACTGTATGTAAAAGCTCGGTTAGGATGAGCTTTTGGTACTGTTATTTGAAGTATTTGAAAATATTTTTCGAAAGAATCCAGTGTCTTTGAGTAATCTCTCATGCTCCTATAAACTTCGCCAAGCTGACTATATACAGCTACGAAGTTCAGATGGTTCGGAGATAATGTATCTTCAAAAATCGGATAAGCTTTTTGATAAAACACTAGTGCTTTCGAATAGTCACCGATATTGTTATATACTAAACCAAGATCGTTGTAGGACGTAGTCAATGATGGATGATCTTGAGGCAGTGACATTTCTAGAATTTGATGTGATTTATCATAAAATTCAAGTGCTTTTGAGTAATCCTCCATGTCATGATACACTTGGCCGATATTATTGTAGAAAGCAGCCAAATCGGGATGATCTTCTGGTAAAGGTCGACGATTTATTTTTAATGATGTTTTGATATATGATACTGCTTCTGTGAATCTTTCTTGATTATTTTTCACGCATGTAAGTTGATCATAGATTCCTATCACCCTATCATTGTCATGTAAAGTGTTCTTGAGTAATTCCATGTAGAATTCATCAACTTGATTGAAATGATCCACTTTGTTTAGCAATTGCCCTGTTCTATACCATCCTTTACCAACGATTTCTCTTTGGATGTATTGACTAAGACCAGTCAATTGTGCATCATCGTCGTTTGTTATAGTCAATTGTACTTTCCAAAGACGACTATTCTCAAGCATCTGTGAAATTTCATTGATACGGAAAATTGTGTGCATTGTAAATAGTATCTCTTTCTCTTGTGGCATGGCACTGAGCTCGTCAATCATCGCAAATGGAATATTTGAAGCCAGTGATTCAGTTGGATTGATAGCCATGATAAACATGACACCCACAATATATGAGGTTTTCATCTTGCGCTCAACAAACTCTGTGGCTGTTGCCATTCTTTACTAGTTGATAGGAAGTTGTTGAATGCAAGTAATCCACCTTGGGGATCGAGGAGGTGCTGAAATTCCTTATTTCTTAGCCCTTGAGCACGACAAACATTAAATTTTTCTACATACGCACTGAATTGTTCTTTGTGCAGCTGTGCTAGTTGTTGATGAAGATTTCGAACAAAAACGCCCATTTTCATCATCGTCTCCGTGTCGAACAATCTTAAAGCGCGATTAAGCATTCCATAGAGGAAGATTTCAAAGTTATACCACCAAATAGCTGATTTCTGCTCATATTCATCCTGAAACTGTTTTAATTGGTATTCATGAGTACCTTTGCCACGACAACAAACGACAAGGTCTCGTACAACTTGTGTGTCATCTTCTTCTATCTCTAATAATATTTCTTGAAATAACATCGAATACATCAATGATGGTTCTAATTCATCGACCTGTTTTTTATTCGGTACTATCGCTATTGTCACCATGGCTTGCTGCGGCACCATGTTCATTGAAATTTCACTCTGATCATATTCATGGGTAATCATTCTTAAGGAATCGTATATAGGTTGGACTGAGGTGAAAACACCTTGAATTTCTGACCATTCTTTTATTCATTGTTTACGTGGTTCTTTGTTGCTACAAAATATGTAGATGACATCTAATTGTACCATGGAATGAATATCAGGCACGAGATACTGCCCTAAAGCACCAGAAATAATGATAAAAAAGTTCTCTCTCTAACATCATTGAGATATTGAATACAATGTGTCGATTCAGTACAGATTCTCACATTATTAACAACAGTGTGCAGTAGCACTAATACTTTTTGCGAAAATTTCCTGTTTGAACTCATTTGTATCCCTATTGAATGCTACCCATGTGTTTCATTACGATGAAACTGCGGCGCAGTTACGCCGTAATTGCGGAAAACTGCGACGTAGTTACGCGCAACTACGATGAAAAAATCGCAGTTACGCGTAGTTACGGGGGGGAAATCACAGTTACACATAACTGCGCCCAAGTTTTCCGCAATTATAGCTCACAAGTGGCGTAGAAATTGGTACAAAAGATAACATAGATTAGGGTTTCCTTTTATTTGTATTTTTATTGAGTTTAAAAAATTTTTTGAACAGAAAATGAAAAACAACTATAAAATTAAAACTTTTATAAAAAATAAAAAACAATTTTTAAATTAAAAGTTTTCACAATAAAAATAATTGAAAAATTGAAATCTAGAAAAATCTAAAAATTTACTAAAATGAAAATTTTAAAAAAATTTTAGTTTAGAACTTAAGGAAAATTAAAAATTAATATCTAGAAAAATTTTTAAAATTAAGACCTAAAGAATTTTTAAAAATTGAATGTATAAAAGAANAGACATACTAAGCGTAGTTTCTTATAGAAATCTTCACTACGATCAATGCGCCATAGTTACGCGTAACTGCGGCACAGTTGATAAAAAAGAGGCGACATGGGTAATTACCACTTTGTCAACAATCTAAAATGAAGACTAATTATTTATCGGCATCAAAAAGAGATCATCTTTCTCATTTATAACTTTTTAAAATCTCATCAGGGCCTCAAATGTAGATTGTTTCCCTTACTTTTCAATAAGACTGTAACCACTTTATCACCGCCTTCAATAGGGCGTGATTACTTGTGCTAGTATTTGTGTCTATGAAGCAACCTTTCATCTTTACTTGGTGGAAGTGATATATGACAAAATTTTCTCTGGCTGATACGGCTTGTATAAGAACTGGTTCTCATCGATTTTGATTTTTAATCAACAGCTAATATTGTCATTCAACTTCATTTTATCATTATTCTAATTATATCAAAAATGAAATTTACTTACATATGAAGTGGTATTGAAGTGTGCAAGTTTTATTTACTGTATTTGCAACTAATTTGATGCCTTCTCTATGATTGACGAAGTTGCTTTCTTTTTCACTCATTAACGAATTTTCATGTGAATTAATGAGCCGTGACATTTACATTGCATAAGCATGGCTCTTTTCATTTTTTCGTGCATTATCATGAGTATTTCTTTTTGCTTTTTTTGTACGCGCGTTCTGCATTGCTATGAGAAAAAAAACTACTATCTTATTCGTGTAAAATGCACGTGACATTTTTGAATCTCGAATTTTCTTTCTCATGAGTAAATGAAATAATAGCTATTCGATCTGATACATGAAACTTGCCATAAAGATTCGTTCTATCGATTACAAAAGAGTTTTTCTTCTGCTCCGTAGAATTAATCGATGGTATATTATTTCATAATGCAATTAAATATGATTATTATTTGTCAGAGTAGTTTACTTGCTGTTGAACTATTTAGTCTCTAAAGCAATTAAAATTGATGATTAAATTTTATTGGGTAATATTTGGATCATAATAAAGTACACTAGAAATGAATAAAAGTTCTACAGAACTTGAACTTCTAAACGTTTCTGATACTATTAAATATCCGTGTTGCATACACACTTGTATTGCAGTATACAAGGGCGATGATAATGAGACCGAAGTCTGTTCAACAAAGTATCGATTTTAAAACAATATATCATCTAAAGGAAACTTACTGAAGAAGAATTTTCTATGAGATGAAAATAAATAGAAATATGTTTATCACAGCCTGTTCGCAGTTGATCGACGTTTTTAGTGCGTCAACCTATAGAAATAAACTACCTATGGATCAAATTTTCAAAACGATACAAATTCTATCGTAGTTAAAGACCTCTAATAAAAGTCCACGAAAATTTTCAAAATGATCACCCATATCTGGCAATACTTTAAAATAAAAGATCGAGAGAGTTAATACCACTTGACAAGTCTCAGCAACATCGAAATGTCTGATATTATGGTATAGCTATGTGTGCTTTAGTCAAATATTCTTCGACACATAAGTCAGATCTGTTTTGTTTCACAGTTCACATGTAATTTGAATCTGGATTGATATTGATACGACTTTGTGATCGAATTTACATTCGCCTCTGGCAAGTAATCGCGCATATACTTGCACTTCATATAGGAATGTACAAGAACTAACCAAATTTGAGTGAGTCATCGCTAACGACCAAATAAAAACTAAGAGAAACATACAACGAAACAAGTGTTGACACATCTGTTAAATGAGCATAATAATTGTCAAGTGATGCAGGTAAGAAAACAGAGAAAAGCGGTAATAATACCAGATAAAGCCCATGTAGATACAGTAGTGTCATAGTTGAAACTTGAATTCAATTATTGACACTTTCAAGGTTCAAGTATGGCAAATATGATCACGCTCCCCATGAAAAACAATTTCGAAAAAACATGCGTTTCAACACGAATTTTTTAAAAAGCAAGGCTATTTTCGCGAGTAAACGCAAAGTTTTAAGAAAAGAACGCGTCTTCCATGCTGATTTATTTTTCAACACTTTTTTCTTTAAAAAAAAACGATTTGCGAAGACCCGCTTTAACGTATTATTTTGGACGAGTTTAAACTTGCTTTTAATAACGCATCTTTTACCCAAAAAACAGTTTCTTTCGGAAATGTGTTGCAGCGGTGCCTTTTTTAATTCATGGATTTTATAGTTTAGTGCCCTTCTTTTCTTTTCTGTCAGCTTAAATATTTATACAGATATTCTCTCTAGAAGTTTTTTTGTCAATATTAATCTAGCGATGGATCAAAGAAAAAGGTCACGAACTACCTAGGTTATACTAAAAATCAAAATATTCGCATAGTTGAAAACAAAAAAAAACTTAAATTATCGTTATTTATTATCAGAAAATATTAGGGATGGAACAATTTACATCTAAAAAAATTATCTGATTCAAATAATAATTCTGAATTTCTTTTGAAAGTAACTTCTCACAATTTAGATTGTTTTATATTTAAATTAATGCAAATGGACATTAAAAATAAATTTAAAAGAAGATGCTAAACCTAGAAACTATTGAAATTAGCTCTAGATATGTAGTATCATTGATATGGAAAAAACAGAGAACGTATTTCGAAACTTTGGAAAGCGTCGAAATACAAATTTTTTCTTGTATTCACTTAGTATAGACGTGTAATTATCATCATGTTCACTGTAAGGATGGCGAACCTCCGTCACCTAAGTCAATTAGAATGTTCGAAGTTCGAATATATTCATCGCCACATCGTAAAATATGCTTAATGATTTAAACGCGCGTATCGAAAAAGACAACGAGTGTTGACTCAGGAAAAACGCAATTTACAGAACACGTTTTATAAAACACAAATGTTCTAGCGAAATCATATTCGAAACAAAAGAACTCGTTCAAATGCACATTTTTTTAAAATTGTTTTTCATGGGTCACACTCGCACCCTCAATATGACTTTGTGAAAAGTCTATCTACTTTGCTTTCTCTCTGTTATATTATCCCTCAATTGAAATTAGGCGATAAGTGCGGTACCGAATCGAAATCTTCATGTGACTGGATATTTTGCAAATACAGAAGGAAGAAGGAAAAAAAAGTGAGTACGTCTTTTTTCACTCATAATAAAGTGATCAATTCTGGATCTAGATTTTCTGTTAAGTGCTGTTGCGAATGTTCAACCTTCTGTGTAATTTTATGGTCAACTGCCTGTATTCTTCTCTGTGCAATATTCATTACAATTCCTGTAGTCGTATTAACCAAGGTAACAACGTCAGTACAAACACGTAAGACATCGCTAATCTTTCTTATTCTCACATAAAAATAAATGATCACACTTAAGGGATCATGAGAAATGGAGCGATTCCACGAAAAAATACCCTCTTTTGATTTTTTACCCATAACAATTTAATAAAAAAAATACTTGTATGCATCTGGATTACAATTCGTGATCGAAATAATTTCTGTAATCGAAAAACAATGTATTCAATACCATAAAGTGTTTATTGCTCTAGCTGTTATTAATTTGTATGTAAAAAGTATTTCAACAATAGCAACCAATGCGAAGACCGTAAAACGATTTATCCAACATTACCGAGACTATTTCATGGGTTTCTCCTACTTATGAATGATACCTAAAAAAATTATTTTAAATCGGTGTAAATTCTCGACATCCTTTGTGCCCCATATTACGTACGAATCCCTCTTTAAGTTCTGCATCACAGTACGTTTTTCCAATGTAAAAGAGACGAATGTTTACTATTCTCATTGTATTGAATTCGGAAAATACTGCTGAAATAAATATTTACGATCGTAGTCTCTTACGTCTCGCAAAAATAATAAATCTATTTTGAATCATAAACTTAACCCGAAAGTGAATAAACGTATCATCCGTTTTTAGAGCGATTCTAGAACTACTATATATCAGCTATTCGAAGAATTTCACTATTTTTTGTCTTAACTCTATGTATGCACTTTAAGAATCCATACTTTTCAGTATAAATATCTATGAAAAACCAAAATTCCGAAATGATCATTATTGATATCTCTGTCGAATTCGCACGTTCCTACAAAACATTTTAATGCGCCAAAGTGACACGAACATATCCAAAATTGTCTAAGTGCATTCGCCAGAGAACTCTTTTCATATCTGTTGGGGTAATTGCGCCTGTGTATAAGTGAATTCGATAATAATAATTATATAACTAACATTGAGTCTCACTCTTTTAGATACCGCAAGAACAACAACAATGGCCATAACTGTGATGACAAAAAGAACGATTCCACTTGGCACCACTAAAAACATTTCAACAGCAGCAACCACAAAAAGCACCATCACCACCACCACCACCACAACAACAAAAACAACAAGTACTACCACCACGACCACCACCACAACAACGTCAAG